TGGGGGTTGAGGTAGGGATGGGGGCATTGGTGTGGTAGTGTTGATAGTGGTGCTGGGGTGATGGCGGTGCTGGGTGATGGTGGGGGTGGAGGTGGTGGTGATGGGCAATGGTGCTGGAAGGGGGGCAGAACAGAGAAGGGACCAGCTGATGAGGTAGAGGTGCATGCTTAGGCTGTGAGAGGAAGTGGGGAAATGTGAGGTCTGACTAAGATCTCAGGGGCACAGGAAACATCGAGAAGGACACCAATCGAGAGGGAGAGGAGGGAATTAAGGATTGAGGCCAAAGTCAAGAGATGGTCAAGGAAACCCAAAGGGTAGGGGTGGGCAGGTGCTGCTCTGCCGGCCGGCCGGTGCCCCAGCTGGCTATCTGTACTCCTCCCGGGGCGGGTCGAGGTCTGGCTCCTCCTGATCCATCTCAGGGGCAGGGGGCCAGGGATTTTCTGGGGGCTGGGGTCCTGCTGGCCATGGGTCATCCGGGAGGGGAGGTTTCGGGGGATCTGTTGTGGGAGGCTGAGGGGGCCAGACTCCAGTAGGAGGCAGGTCTCCCCAGGGGCGATCAGGACCTGGAGGTGGGGGATCTTCAAAGATTGGGGGTGGCCCAGGCCAGGGGTCCCCAGGGACTGGAGGGCCCTGAGGCCATGGCGGGGAGTCCTCTTCCTCGAGGGTCTCTGCGGATGAGGGAGAGGGGTGGTCCCCACTGCCTGAGATGCCTGCAGAGGAGGAAGGGGTCATGAGAAGCGCCTGAGGGCAGGGTCCTCCTTCAGCCCCAAGGTCACCGGTGTAACCTCTCTGGAATGGACCACGGCCTCCCCCCAACTCCAAGAGCCATTCTCAAGCACTCTCTCAGGTTCAAGCAGCATGAAAACTCCGTCCTCACCTGGACCCGTGACCCCGTCAGCCTGACACTGACCCCTCAACAAGCTCGACACCCTGGTTGGGAGAGGCAACTGGCCTGGTCCCTAGGTCCCTGTGTGCCACCCAGCTCCCCCGGTGAGCGCTCCCCTCCTCGGCCCAGGCCCCAGCCTCAATGAATGCTCGGTCACAGAGAACGAAGAGAGCCCCAAGTGACCCTCCAGCGTTATTGCTGTGACCGCTCCGCCCCCCACCCAGGCGCCCCACCATCTCGTGTGCTTCTTCCCCTGCGCCGGGCCCCTCACCCACAAACTGCCCTCCAGGCCTCCTTGACCCCCGGCTCACCTTGGGAACACAGGCACAGGGCCAGGAGCCCCACTAGTTTCCAGCTCAGCATCGTGATGTCCTGACCCCCAAAGTTGGGGGTGAGCTGTCTCAGTGTCTGGGAGCCCCAAAGGCTTTATAGGGAAGCGGGAGAGGAGGCAGGCAGTTCCCAAGAGGGGCCAGCCCAGTGACACAAGGACTCTCTCATCAGAGCCTAACTGGTTGGACCCGTTTGGAAGGCCACAGCTAATGCGTAACCTCTGACTCCCAGGATGGTGGCATCCCTTGTCACGGTACCCCACCCTGCTCCCCTCTATCAGTGTCCCAGCCCCTAGGTCAATGCACCCTCGCCTCTTCATTCACACTGTGCACCCATCAGTTTATCACCTTTCATCCTTCACAGACGTTGGAAGTCCAAGAACGGGAGCCAACCTGGCGTGGGCAAGCAGTCTAATTACAGGGCTGGCCAGCAGCACGCTGGGCCTGGGGTGCCTTTGAGCCCCTGGGTGCAACTAGGGCACTGGGCCAGGGCAGGAGCCTCCCCATCCACTCCCCGCCAGTCTCCCCTGGGACATGGCCCCCAGGCCCCAGGCATGTGGCTCTCCAGGATCTGCCTCATTGCAGGCTGGATTCCCCTCCAGGAAGGGCTGCGGATGAGGAAGGAAACGCGAGCATGTGGTGCAGATTCCTGCTCCCCACCCAGGCAACAGGTCACAACCCTGGGTCTCAGGAAGAAGCTGTCTCAGCCTCTCCCGCCCTCCCAGCCCCTGCCCACCTCCCCAGGGCTCTTGGCTCCAACCTTCTTGGGCCTCCACCCTAGAAGGGCCTCCACCCTAGAAGGGCCTCCCCTCCCCTTGGCCTCTCTGGGCCCCAAGTATGTCGGTCTCTCACAATTCCCCCTGGAATATGTTCCTCAAGAAATCTCTACTAATTGGATATATAACCGCACCTCCCCACCCCCACTGCCAAGGGAACCAATAACAGAAATGTGGGTGAAGAGAGACAACAGACAGTATAAGGTATGAAATAATAATGATAGATAATTGATCAAGGATTCACGAGGGTGGGAGGGGAAAATGAGAAGTTTATACCAAGGGCTCAAGTAGAAAATGTTTTGGAAATGATGGCAATATATGTACAAAGATGCTTGATACAATGATGTATGGAATGTTATAAGAGCTGTAAGAGCCCCCAATACAATGACTTAAAAAAAAAAATCTCTACTGAGCCTCTCCAAGGTCCACAGAATTTAATTCTCCCACAAACTGTCCCCCGCCTGGCCTGTTCCACCAGAGAGGAGCAGCCACTCTGTAGCTCACATAGAAAAAAAATCTTCATTCCTCTTCTCAGCTCTCCCCCACCCCTCCGAGCAACCATCCCCGGTCCCCACGAGCCCCGGAGCCCAGCCATGTCCTGTCCGCCTTCCAGCACCCCCACCCCCACCCCCGCCTGGGCCTTGCGTCCATTCCCACTCCAGGCGACCCGGGTGTCAGATGGCAACTGCTCCCAGGGCTTCCTTGGCTGCGATGGGGGGTCAGATGGCCAGGCCTATCTTCTGCAGCACAGAGGGTGTCCTCCGAGACTCCCCAGTACCCTCCCGGGGCCTGGGGGTAGGGGGAGCCAGTTCCACCCCGCTGCTGCTGCTGCTTTACGTTCTCTTCCCAGCACACCTGTCAGGAAACCAGAGACCACCCCGCCCAGTGCCGCAGGGGGAGCCCCTGTGGTGGAGCGGAACTACCCCCTGGGCTTTCCGCCCGGCCCGTGTGTCATCTTTCCAGAAGCCCAGACGGTCCGCCCTGCCGGCCCTGGCGGCTGAGGCGGCGCTCTGCCTGAAGACGTGGTCTGCTCCCGGCTCTAAGCCGCAGGACCTTCCAGAGCAGCCTGGTGTGGGAAAGAGCTGTCTGGAGAAGAGCAGGCTGTAGGGAGGGTGTCCCCTTCGCTCCCAGACAAGACAAGTGAGCCACGGCCCTGTGTCATCACCCTGCTTTATTGAGTGAGCCCCGGAGGAGTCACAGGTACCGGGTGGTGGCCGGATGGGGAAGAGGGCTGGCGGGCTTCCCCACTTCTCCAGAGCTTCCTCGGCCCTCCCCGGGCCTCCCCTTCAGCAGTGGGCTGGGGCAAGGGTTCGGGGTGCCATCTTGACACAGCCCTTCCTCTCTGACAATGGCTTCAGTCAGGCCTTGCAGGTCATCGAGCAGAGCAGAGAGGGACCCTGGGGACAAAGAGGCCAAGAGGTCAGAACAGGGCAGACGATGGCTCCCGGGGTGACTGTGCAGAAGGACCCAGGCTGGTGCAGGGCAGGAGGGCAGCACTGGGATGGTCTGTAGTGAGCCTGCGGCCCCCCACGCTGCTCCTGAACCTGCGGCGTCTGGGGGGGGTGGGGGGTCAGGCAATGCCCAGTCCCTGCGGTTGTCCCTTCTGGCCCAAGCCTCACCTGTTATGGCCTCCTTGGAGCGGGGTGAGGCTGCTGGGGATGAAGGCCTGGTGGGTGCTGCGGGGGCTAACGAGCCCGGAGGCTGAGAGCTGGCCTCCACGGGCTTCCCCGTGTCCAGGAAGGAAGGAAGGGCGGCCAGGAGCTGCTGCTGCTTGTGAGGGGAGAGGAGACCCTCCTGCCGCAAGGTGTTCTGGGGAGGAGATGACAGCGGGGAGCCTCCCTTACCTCTCTCTGCCCCTGGGCCCTCCCCCCACCCACCACACAGCGGGGTGGTCCTAGGGGCCTCGCTGTCCCGGTACCAGCATCAGGTTCTTGTCCCTCTCCAGTTCCTGCAGCCGCCGGGTCAGCCAGCCCTTCCTCCTGGCGGGCCTCCTCCTGCAGCTGCCGCAGCTCCTGGTTCCGCTGCTTCTCCCGGGCGGCTTTCTGCTGGATCTGGCGCAGGGAGACCACTGTGGGGGAGCCGGGACACAGAGGGCCCGGTGGTCAGCCCACAGGCCGCCTGGAAGGCCAGGCAGGAACCCTGGGTCCCCAGTCCTCTGCTTGGGAAAGTCACTTAGGAAGGCAGCTCCGTCTGCGGTCCAGCGGGAGGGGGAGCTGCTGCTCTCTGGACCCTGTCCCCACGACCCCCAAGTCCCTTAGAGAAAGCCTGAATACAGACAGGCCACCAGATGGGGGGCGATTTGTGTTCGTTTGCCTTAAACATGGGACAGCACTGAGGCTACACAGGAGAATTTCCTCCGTGTGGGAGTGCAGTCGAAGGGCATGCTTTCTTTCAAAGCCGTACAAGGTCCAGAGACATGAGTACACGTATAAGGGTGCACATAACAGGACAGAGATGTGGCCAGAGGTCAGCTGCGACAGACAGGTCTGAGAAGCCATGTGTCCAAAACAGAGCTCCATTTCTCCCCAGGCTGCCTGCCACTGTGCGTCAGCTCTGGCGCACAGCGACCCTGCAGCACAGAGTAGGGGTGCCTGCTGGGACGAGGCTCCTGCGGGGTGGGGAAGGGATGCGATGCTCACTACCAGGCGTTCAACGGTCCGGGGAGTTTTCGTAGCAGCCACTCAGGGCCCCTGTTGGACCGGAGCTCCTTCTGCTGGGACTCTTCTCGGTACCCCCAAGAAAGGGGCAGAAGGGCGGTCTGTGGTGTTACACCAGGAGGACAGGGGCCCTGGTGACAAGGTGATGGCTGGGGGGCCTGAAGGGGGCCAGGGGGTGGGTGTTGGCTGCTTGGATGTGTTCAAACCACAGCCAAACTCCCTGCCATCAAGTCAGCTCTGGCGCACAGAGACCCTGCAGGACAGGGGATTCCAAGACTGTAACTCTTTATAGGAGTAGCAAGCCTCCTGCTTCTTCCAGGGAGTGCCTGGTGGCTTTACACCCTCTCTTTCTTTCAGTACTTGTATCAAACAATGCTATCTTTTATTTTTTTTAAGTTGGGATGGGGTGGGCTCGGCCCTTCCTCCCTCATGGAAGGCCGGCGTCCCGCGCCCCGGCAAGCCTCACCGGCCTGGGCATGCTCCCTCCGCGCCTCCTTCAGTCTCCTCTCCATCTCCGACAGCTGTTCCCGCAGCCGGGTTTCCACCTCGGCCACCTTCTCTTGCAGAGCTGTGGTGAAGGTGCGCGGGGGACGGGGACTGTTAGGGCTCCCCCTCCGACCCCCCGTGCTGTACCCCCTCCCCGCTCCGCCATGCCACCTTGCCCATAGTCCTCCTGCTGCTGCGTCAGCTCCCGCCGCAGGCTGGCTGCCTCCTCGGTGCTCTCCTGCTGGCCCTGGCGAGCCGCGGCCAGCTGCAGCCCCACCCTGGCCAGGGCCTCCTGGGCTTGCTGCAGCTCCTGCTCCAGCTGCTGGGCGACCTCACTCAGCTGCTTGCGCTCCGCCTCCCCTGCAGGAAGTGGGGTTCGGCCACAGCCTCCTCCCCAGGCCCCTGCCCCGTGCCCAGGCCTCTCGCACCCCCAGGCACCTGCTGCCAGCCCCCGGGTACCTTGCTCCCGGGCTCGGCCCACCTCCTGCTGGATGAGGCGGGCACTTAGCTGCAGCTCTGCATCCAGGCGATTCCGCTCTTCCCGCAGCTGCTGCAACTCAAGGCTCACGTCCACGTCCACGGCCGGCGGGGGTGGGGGCGGGGGACAGCTGAGGGAAGAAGCAGCAGAGTTGGGGGAGCCCATCTAGCACGGATGCCTACACCCCTGACTCTCCTCGGTCCTTACTGCTTTGGATCCCAGCAACCAACACCCCCAAGCCCACCTTCTTCCCTGACAGCCGGGACCCCAGACCTCACCTCTCCTGGCGCAGCTGGGCAAGGGCCACTTTCCGAGCCACTAGGCCTGGGGGGGTGGGGGGGAGGAGGACAGGTGGTGGGGAGGGAGCAGATACAGGCTCAGAGCAAGCAGGGGCAGGAAGAAGAGGGTCTGAGCTGGTGGAGGGCAGGGGCGTCTCCCAGGGGCCCTCCCCACCCTGAATGGTGTGAACCTTGCAGGTGGCAGGGGCATCTCCCTGGGGCCCTACCCACCCTGAATGGTGTGGACCTTGCAGGTGGCAGGGGCATCTCCCTGGGGCCCTCCCCGCCTGAATGGTGTGGACCTTGCAGGTGGCAGGGGC